CAACTCATTAAGCGAGCATTCATGGTGATATGACTCCGACTGCTTTTCCAAATCACTATGCAACTACGTGCGGCCTCAACTAGAATACGCCATACAGGCGTGGAGAACTTGGACTGCCAAGGACTATACCGATTTGGAGAAGGTCCAGAGACGGGCGACCAAAATGACACAAGGTCTGGGAGCGCTGGCTTACGAAACCCGACTGTCAACTCTTAGCCTGTTTCCACATTCATTCAGGCAATTACGTGGTGAACTTATACTAACATTTTGCATTATCAACGGCCTAGATTGCTGTTTAGATCCCACTGATTATTTCACACAAGATAACACGCCCAAGATCGAAAATTGCCATCGTAAGATTCAAAAGGCAATTTGGCGAGCATAAGTCTGCTCTTCGTTCAGAAGTAATGAATGAGAAGGAAACACGGGCACGTAGATAATTAAGTTGTACCTAGGGATTGGAGAGGGGACGGCAGGGGAGGAAATAGGGAGAGTGAAAGAACAGAACTGCAGTCAGAGTCAGGGAGAATGTGGGTTCCGGCGGAGAAGGTAAAAACATGCGGGCGGGCGGGAGGGCGGGTGGCTAGCATAATGGATTTCACCCACGCCAAATGTGGACGCAAATTGTAGAAAAAAACTGCTTGGCGCCAAAAGCGGGCCAAGTGGCGAGCGAGCCCATAGCTACTCCATCTGTCTGTAGTTGTCGTCGAATAGGAAGTGCACTTTCAAAGTGCACCTCAATAACTGTTGCTTGAGGGCATTCACTGTCGGTATTAAACGTATATCCTGTTGGTTATCGGCAGCAATGAAATCACAAAGGTATGTAGCTGACCATTTCCGTGACCGGTACGTTCGTAAAAAGGAATGAGACGACATCTAACGAAAAAATTACCATTTCGAACAGATCGAAGTCTTTCAGGCCATTAATGAATTCAACAGTATCTCCATAGCTATGTGACGCTAGAAGATACTGCAGAGACTTAAGATTCACCGCCAATCATTTCGATATTGTCTAGTTCCGTCTAGTTCCTCATATGGAGAATTTGACGAACCGGTGCGCCAACTTTGTGCGCCATCATCCGCAAACCATATAATCGAGGCATGTGTGTACCGAGGGTTCGGAGGCGCCGCTCTACGTGGTGTTCGCTTATGCAATTACCAACTGCCTGAAGTCTTTTCAAGCAGTCGGTCAGTCAGTTGTGCTTCAATCTCATCTCTTCGGTCCTTCTCCTTCTCTGCCTCTCCACTGTCTTTTCCTCTTCCAACTGAATTGACTGTATTTAACCGATATAGTCTTCAGTTACCTTAGTTATCAGAACGTCTTTCTTCCGCCGCCGCCGCCGCCGCCGCCGCCGCCGCAGTTCATTTAAAATCTCAATGTGTGTGTCACTTCGTCAGCACAGGAAGCCGACCCGATATTTCTGACCACTATTCAGGTATTGATTGATAAGTGCAATTGACAAACTAACGTTGACTTAAGATGATATAAGCTCTCTCTCCGTCGAAATTGGCAGAAGTACATCCGTTAAGTTCAAGAGGTTGGGTTCGCGAATTGTGTTTCTAACTCCAACTGTCTGGGATTCTGGCGAGGACAGCAAAACTTAGGGCCCAACCATAAGGATTCAATCGATGTTTTAACGAAATATATACACGAATAATTGTGTACGTACCGACATGCATCTTCAGGAATCTTACATTGTGCTTCGCCCTCGTCAATACTCCCACGACGAAGAAGGGAAGCCCGCTTGAAGGCCTCTCCACGTTTGTCCGAAATGGACTGCACATACAGAATTGTCGAATTCCTGCCGCTCGTCTTCGCCAAGTTGATCGAGTATGGCGGCCGCCCGTTGAAACACCTGACGCCCCAGCTCTTCCACCGGATTTACAACACGCCTGCTCTCTAGTTCATTTTCGGCCTATCTTCTCAAGGTATCACAGGAGATGTTAACCGTACGACTCACTCCGTCGCATTCATCTCCAGTAGGATGTCGGGTACTCATTTCCCTCGAGGAGGCATCTCTTGATAAACATGGCTCGCACATTCGCCTTCACAGGCTTGGTGCTGCTGAACCGTAGGTACCCCCACTGAGTGCCTTCAACCACACCGCGGCATCTTTGGACTGTTTTAGAGTTGTGAAAATTGCCTTTGTACAATGCAAAGGGCAATTTGGCGTGTATACGTGTGCTTTCGATAAATAATTCTCTTCAGGCCTATGTGGCTACTATTGAAGATGTAATGAATGAAAAGGCGATAGGGGTACGTGGATAATTAAGCTGTACCTGGGGATTGGAGAGGGGAGGGGGGTGGGAGAGTGAAAGACCATAATTGCAGTCAGCGTGAGGTAGAAGGTGGGCCCCCGCTGCGGCGAAGGTAATTACATGATGCGGGCGGGTGGCTGGCTTAGTGGCTTTGACCCATGCCAAATGTGGGCGCAACCTGTAGGAAATTCTTCAGGGCGCAGAGGACCGGTGCGCCCCGCGTAGCCTGATTGCAGCCGCCTCTGCCGTAGCCAAGAAGCGCTGCCCAAGTAGTTTTTGCATAGTTTGATGGCACCTTGTAAAATTCAGTTCATTGACGGTATGGTTCTGACGGCGTTGCTGAGGCTACAGGAATCCAAATCACCATGTCCCGTTGAGATTCCGGCGACGATTTTGAAACAACTCGCCGGTGAGTTGTCTAAGCCACTCTCTATGCTCTTCAATATATCCTTCGAGACCGGATATCTGCCACCCGACTGGAAGTCAGCGTGGATTACGCCGCTGTACAAGGGCGGATTCGGGTCTCTGCGAACAATTACAGACCTGTCAGCCTCACCTCCATTTGCTGTAAGATTATGGAGAAAATAATTAAGTAACAATGAATGCAGTTCCTTGAACAAAACCATTTGCTTTCCGATTTCCAGCGTGGATTCCGCAAAAACAGATCCTGTGTGACAAATCTGCTCTACTGTCTGTAACACTGGACTAGGGCCGTTGATAGAGGGAATATGGTGCATGTCATCTAAATCGACTTTAATAAGGCCTTCGATAGTGTGCCTCACCACCGCCTTCTACACAAACTTAGCCGGTCAGGAGTGCGAGCTAAGCTTCTGATGTGGATTCGGAGCTTTTTAATCGGCCGCTCTCAAGCCGTCCAGGTCAGTGACCAGCAATCTGCCGAGGTTGCCGTTAGGAGTGGTGTTCCCCAAGGCTCTGTTCTGGGCCCTACACTGTTCCTCGTATACGTCAATGACTGCGCAAACGAACTGAATTGCGATGTCGCATTGTTTGCCGATGACATAAAGAGCTGGAGTACCATACGAAGCGAAGTTGACGAGGCGCAACTGCAGACAAACCTGGACCACATCGATCAATGGTCGAAAGACGGGCTTCAACCGTTCAACGTAAACAAGTGCAATTTCCTGCGCGTCGGCAGAACCAGTTCTCCTAACCACACGGTCTTCCGTCTGACTGACAAAAGCACTGCAAGAAGTCTACGCCCAGAAGGACTTGGGTGTATGGATCACAACCTCGCTGAAGCGTTCGTTGCAATGATCAAACTTGGCCAATTCGGCGACATTCATTCTATACCTCGTCAAACGGGCGTTCTCCTGCTTTAATGAAGACTGCTTCGCCAAGGTCTTTCAAACCTTCGTGCGACCGCATCTGAAGTTTGCTATCCAAGCATGGAGACCCTGGACCGCTAAAGACTTTGGCATACTTGAAAAAGTTCAACGGCGAGCAAGGAAACTTGTATCTGGGCCGTGGTCACTACCCTACGAAACACGATTAGCTAATCTTGCCCTCTTTCCTTTGAGTTACAGACAGCTACGTGGGGACCTGATACAAGCATTCCGCATCGTGCGCAATCAGGGCTGCTGCCTCGCATCAGGAGACTTCTTCGAGTTGGCGACTACGACAAACATGAGAGGCCATCCACTCAACCTGCGTGTGACTAGTGCCCGGCTAGAAACACGAAAGTTCTTCTTCTCTAACAGAGTGGCTGCAGCTTGGAATGCCTTGCCTGAGAATGTTGATATGTCGGCATACGTCGATACTTTTAAACGGAGGCTAGATCAAGATTGGAGCGCGCACCACAATAACGGCGGTCTACAGCCACCTTGATAGCCAACGTTGACAATTTAGTGTTATGGCGATGCTACTACCAACATTTAAGTAACACGTGTTTATGTAATTTACTGATCTGAGCCACGTCGCACACCGCTGCTCGCATTCACCACGATGCCTGTAGACTAAAATTTTTTACTTCTTTTCCCGTATCTTGAGTCTGCTTCAAATGTCCGCTGGATTTTATTAACAAAACAAGTTAATGTGCCTCTAAACTCTGTTAACGCATGACATTCTGTGTACATCAGTCAGGTTTTTGCTTTTCCCATCGCATTTCCTTCATGATACTTCCTCTCCATTTCCTCCACATATATCCTCTGCATGTAAAAAATGCGGATTACAAAGGTACACACCTACATTCCTCGAAAAGTACTGATACTGATATTGATACTGACTCTCTGGACTGCGTCTACACGGTGGTCTGTGTCTACTACGTGAGCGTGCGAGGATCGACCACTTGATGTTCATTATTTGACGCCTTCATAACCTGGCGCGCATGGAGATGTTCATTTGGATTTGGCGGGCGGTCGGACAGGCGGGCGGTCGGCCGGGTGGGTGGGTGGTTAGCTGGCTTAGTGGCTTTGACCCATGCAAACTGTGGGCGCAACCTGTAGAAAATTCTTCTGGGCGCATAGGGCCGGTCCGCTCCGCGTAGCCTGATTGCATTCCGGCTATTCCATCGTTTCAAGTTCCTGTTCGCTGATTCAGACACCACGGTCTCTTCGTCAGCATAAGTCCTGGAGAAACTCAAAGCAGTAAGCCTCCATCCAAATTTGGTCTTGGTATCTTTGGATGCTACATCCCTTTTTACTTCTATTCCCCAGGACCTGGCCATCGAGACAATACAGCTGCTTCTACAAAGCAAATACGATGGAACGGGGAATCGTCTTGGACGCGCCGAAGTCCTTCAGCTACTGAAGTTCTCTCTCAGGACGTACTTCACGTTCGACTGGACAATCTACGAAGAGGTGAAGGGCACACCAATGTGTCCGCCGATTTCGGGGTTCATCGTGGAGGCGGTCCTGCAACGGTTAGATTCGCTGGTCTTCCAACATCACAAACCGAACTTCTGGGCCCGGTATATGGATGGTACCTTCGTGCTTATCGACCTGGATCAACTGCTGACATTTAAGGAACGTCTGAATGCGGTCGTCCCGGATATATAATTTACGATGGAGGAGAGAGAGAACAACCAGCTGGCCGTCCTGTATGTCCTCGTATGCCGCAAGGATTGTGGTGGACTAAAGACCAAAGTGTTCAGGAAAGCGACAAATACTATGCAAGTACTGAACTTCAACAGTAACCACCCAATCAGTCACAAACGCAGTTGTCTAAGGACGCTCTATCGGCGTGTCGAAACGCACTGCAGTGAACCGGAAGACAAGATTGCTGAACTACAATAACTCCGACAGTTCTTCAAAGCCAATGGCTACCCGCGCAACTTTGTCAACCGGTGCATACGCAAAAGGGACGAAAAGCCGAACCGCACGGACAGCAAAGTTTGGCGAGCGCTTCCATATGTCAAGAACGTTTCGGAAGCTAGTGGCCGCCTTCTCGCACCACTTGGGGTTGGAGTTGCACGCAGACCGGAGGCAACCATCAGGCATCAGTTAATGAAACCGAACGACCCACTGCCACGGCAAGAAACGTCTGGAGTCGTTTATCGGATCTGGCGCAGTTGCGGACAAAGCAACTATGTTGGAGAATCCGGAAGACAGCTCCAAACGCAAATGGCCGCACCCGCGGCAGCGGTGCGGAGAAATGACGCCAGCTCTCAAGTTGCGGCTCATTCGACGGCCTCCGGCCGCTCATTCAAATTTGACGAGGCCGAAATTCTCGCAAGAGGTGACAACCGCGTGAGCCGGGAGCTGCTTCAGTCATGGTTTACTGGCCCCCAGTCTATTAACAAGTGCAATGATCTTCCCATTCAAAACACCGTGCTGAGACTTCGTCTAGGCGGAGTATTTGGCCATGCAGGAAGCGTACAGGTGAACACTCTTCACAACACCCGGCTCTGCGCGTCAGATGGTCGAGCAATCATCACACCAACATCCAACGCACGTGATGAAATTGCCGCAATTAACGACGCAAATGTCGGCCATCACGCCACGTGCAACGATCCCTGATGAAGGGGGAGGTGGGGGGGGTTGGGAGCAGTGAATATTCATAGGTATGCGGTAGCATGGCTACTGCATCCTCTAAATACTGCAGCCGCATATGCATGAACCATCCTTCTCTGCTTTTGTCTCCCATGATGGATTCGAGCAGGAATCCGAAACGTCAGTCCAATAAGGCTCTTGTCCCGGCGATCGTGCCTTCTTCTATGTGACCTATCTCATGAAATCTGATGACGGAAACTGATGCAAGATTTGTTGGACGTCTTTACCGTTGCGCATTTTGTTTCCTCGCCACATCCTTCAATGAAATGTCCTTATCTTGTGCAGAACTTGTGTTTACGCAATTGTATCGGTTAAAATATCAATGTCTTCTAGCGAAAATGGACGATGGAATACATTTATGCAATTTCCTGTGCTGAGATATGTCCTAGATTCCGGTTACGCAGCTGAGCGACTTTTTTATTGAAATGATAGTGATATACCCTCGAGAGTTTTTATAAACAGATCTTGCTGAACTTGAAAATTTATCTTATGCCTGATTTGAACAAGGCAAAGTCGACAAAGAATACAGAATTTTCTTGAAAATCAAATAATATACGAGAACTTGGCTGCGTTTCTTAGGCCTATAGATTCGCATATTCCCAGACTACATGGAATGCCAAAATTGCACAAACCAGGGGTACCATTACGTCCGATTTTATCAATGAGGAATTCACTTCAACATAAACTTGCCTAATGGTTAGTGCAGCAAATCGAACCAATCAGACGCAACCTTGCCGTTTACACTATCAAAGATACTTTCTCCTTCGTAGATGAGCTTAAGCATCAGAATCTACCGAATAAACACATGATCTCGCTTGACGTGCAGAGCCACTGGATTAAACAATTAACAATTAAACAATTAACATAATTTTTGAACATGCGGGTGAAACACACCTGCCACAAGAGCAACTGCGGGAACTCTTACAGATATGCACAAAGAATGTACAGTTCCTGTTCAACGGGCGGCTGTATTGACAGACCGATGGTGTAGCTATGGGCAGTCCATTGGGGCCAGTCCTAGCGGACGTTTTTATGTCTAATCTAGAGCGAAAATTAGCTTTGAACTCACAACGAGCCTCATTCAATAGGCGATATGTGGATGACATTTTCGCCATAGTCAAAAACCCAGGCGACGGAGAACTACTATTCAAGGCTCTGAACAAAGCACATGCAAAGATCAAATTTACGATCAAGCATCACAAGAATGACATACTGCCTTTCCTGGATATTCTTGTACGTAGGCGGGCAGATGACTCTATTCAGAGATCCATCTATCGAAAACCCACCTGGAAAGGACAANACCGGTCCGATCCGCGTAGCCTGATTGCAGCCGCCTCTGCCTCTGCCGTAGCCAAGAAGCGCTGCCCAAGCAGTTTTTGGATAGTTTAATGGCTGGCACCTTGTAAATTACTCTGAAAGACCCTCTGGTCTACGTACACGGTGGTCTGCGGCGTCTACCACGTGAGCGCGAGAGCATCTAGCTCATTACTTTCTTTATTTGACCCCTTGCAAACCTGGCCTGCTGGCTGGGAGATGTTCTTTTGGATAAACGCCGGCCGGATCCTGCCACCAATATAAGCTGCCCAGTCCACTGGTGGAACAGGTGAAGGAGTAAATACACATACTTATGGACTGGGCTACTATATTTTCCTTGCCCCCTCCCTCCCTCCCTGGATAGTAGAATGGGGGGAATGCTGGAAGTCAGCTGCTCTAATGGTCCGTGCTAATACCGCTTGAGTTAGGCGGCGCATTATAACAGTTGGCTTGCCAGCATTTATCCACTACCAGTCGCACGTCTTCGCCAATTTCTTCCACCATGGCTGCCCGCAGACATACCTGACGCACCAGCTCTTCCGCCTGCTTTACAACACGCGTGCTCTCTACTTCATTTTCGGCCTATCTTCTCACAGGCCTATCACAGGAGGTGGTGATAACCCTACGACTCACTCCGTCGCATTCTTCATCTCCAGTAGGAGATGGGGTACTCATCATTCCCTCCAGGAGGAGGCATCCCTTAATAAACAAGCTGACTTGTACTTTCGCCTGCACAAGATTGGTGGTGCTGCTGCTGAACCCTAGGTACCCCCATTGAGTGCCTTCAACAACACCGCGGCATATTTGGACTGTTTTAGAGTTGCAAATTTGCCATTGTACGATTCAAAAGGCAATTTGGCGAGCATAGGTCTGCACTGGATAAATTCTCTTCAGGCCTGTATGGCTACTATTGAAGATGTAATGAATGAAAAGGCGATACGGGCACGTGGATAATTAAGCTGTACCTGGGGATTGGAGAGGTGAGGCGAGGGGAGGGGAGGGGGAGAGTGAAAGACCGCAATTGCAGTCAGAGTCAGCGAGAAAGTGGGTCACGGCGGCGAAGGTTATTAGATGCGGGCGTGCGGGCGTGCGGCCGGGTGGGGGTTGGTTGGCTGGCTTAGTGTCATTGACCCAGCCAACTGTGGGGGGCGCAACCTGTAGGAAATTCTTCTGGGCGCATAGGACCAGTCCGCCTCGCGTAGCCTGATTGCAGCCGCCTCTGCCGTAGCCAAGATGCGCTGACAAGTAATTTTCGCATAGTTTGATGCCACCTTGTAGAAACTCTGAAGGACTCTCTGGTCTGCGTCTACGCGCGCGAGCATCGAGCCGGTTTGACCCTTTCCTAACCTTGTTGGCAGATGTTCTTTCATTCCTTTGGATAAACGCCGGCTAGTGCCACCAACATTTTCTACCCGACAGTTGAATGAGTATTAAATACACATAGCGGTGGTCTGATCTGGTAGTTTGTCCTTGCCCTTTCCGGATAGTAGGATGGGACTGCTGGGTGTCAGCTGCTGGATCGGTCTGTGATACAGGTCTATGATTTAGGGATGAAATCAAGAACTGAAATTAATGGCTGGCCGCAGATAGTCCTGCAGTGAGAGTCGTCGTTTATCAAAGATCAAACGATCCAGCTGCCTTTTGAATCCTGCCATTGTATCAGATGTCACCAGTTCACGTGCTACTAAGTTCCACGGTCAAACAACACGCTGACTGAAGGAAAACTTCCGATGGTCTAGGCGTATACGCTTCCGCTTGACTGTGTACGGGTGACTGCGCAGGTGACTCGTGGTCGTGGAATCAACGAAGTCTTCAGTTTTGAGTGAACATTCATGCCCGTGTATAATGCAGAATGTCCATAACAGGTCACACCTCATTCGTCTATAGGATAGGGGGAACAAGTTTAACTGGATCAGTCTTTCTGGGTAGGACAGAGTCCTGAGACCTTCCACCAGTTTTGTGGCCCGTCGTTGCACCTGCTCTATGGCATCTCTGTCTTTCTTCCTCCAGGGCATTCATGATGGCAGTGCGTATTCCAATTGCGGTCTGACGAACGTGCCGAATATCTGTGAGAAGAGTTCTGGAGGAAAGATTTTGAAGGCACGTCTAATCCAGTGCATGATGTTGGTCGTCTTTTGGATGAGTGGTTTGCAGTGCTGAGAGGGCAGTAAGTTTGAGCATGTCCAGACACCGAGGTCTTTGTGCGTGTCCACCTCTTTTATTGGAACCCCATTTATGGTGTACTGATGTTTTGGGAAGCGCCTCCGTCCAGATTCTAGTCGAAAGACTGCACATTTGGACACATTAAACGTTAGAATCCACATGCTGAACAACGCAGCCAGCAGAGTAGCATCTTCCTGTAGCTTCTGCGTGTCGTCAACACAGCTGATTGTGCTCCAGATCGTTATATCATCTGCAAACATGATGCCGTCGCATTCAAGGTCTGCAGGACAGTCATTTATATAGATGAGGAAGAGGAGAGGACCCAAGACTGAGCCCTGCGTACCGCCGCATTATACGGGCACCCATTCGGATGCAGTGGTACCAAGGATCAATTTTGGAGCCTGCATGACAGGAAACCTTTTAATCCACTTAAAAATGTAGCCCTGTATTCCACATTCCCAAATCTTCTGTAAAGGTCGTCCATGAGGAACGCTATCAAACGCCTTCTTAAAGTCAAAAAATATGACGTCCACTGGACAGCCCCTGGTCTATGGCTCTTGTCCACTTTTCCTGAGAGTAAAGACTGCTTGTCAGACAGGAGTGACCACGACGAAATCCGTGCTGAGCAGCTCACAACAGGTCCCTCTGCACAAGATATGACAGTAAATGCCCTTTAATAAGTCGTTACATTACCTTGCAGAGAATGCAGGTTAAGCTAATAGGACGGTCCTTCTCCTACACTATCTTTTCTCTGACTTTTCCCCATCTGACAGAATTGACTGTATATACCCAATATAGTCGTCTACCCTGTCCATCAAAACAATGCCAGTTGCCTTATCTGGCCGATTTATCAGAACGTATTTCTTCCGCCAACGCAGTTATTATAACCTCCAAATGTGTGTGTCACTTCGTCAGCACAGCAAGACGCCCCGATATTTCTGACGGCTATTCAGGAATTGATTGATAAGAGCAATTAACTGACTAAAGATGACTTAAAATGTTGTACGCTCTGTGTCGAAACTGGCTGAATGTCAAGTGTTTAGTTCAAGAGGTTCTGGAACTCTACCTGGTTGGATTCTGACGAGGAGAGCGAAATTTAGGATGCAAATATATGGCCTCAATCGATGTTTTATGGAGAGATAAGCAGGAATAAATGTGTACGTACCGAGCTGCATCTTCAAGAGTTCTACATTTTGCTCTGCCCTCGTGAATACGCCCACGAAGAAGGGAAACCCTCTTGAAGCCCTTTCCACGTTTGTCCGAAATGGATCGCACATGCATAATAATCGATGTCCTGTCGCTCGTCTTCGCCAAGTTGACCGAGAGTGGCGGCTGCACGTTGACACACCTGACGCCCCAGCTCTACCGCCGCCGCCAACACCACCACCACCACCACCACCACCACCACCACCACCACCACCACCACCACCACAGCCACCACCACAGCCACCACCACCAAGTAATTACTTCTTATTTATCGCATGCATATTCGTTGCTGACTTTCGTTGTAGACAGCCATTTTTCTCAAAAATTAAGTTTGATGTTTAATTGAGTCTACACATGTGACCCAAGCGACTATCTTCGTAAAAAGAAGCACCCGAACACTCACTGATTCGGTAAATGCCTTCAAGATTAATCTTATTTTAAAGTTCTCAACAGCCTGCTATTTCAGATTCTGTCCTTATGGACGATCGGGTGAAGGCATTAGAAATCATGAAGTATTCGGCATCATTTCGAGGTTTATCTGAAACTCTACGTAATCCAAAACGAACTAAAGGTGTAAATAAGTTAATCGGAAGAAAACCTCTCTTAATAAACACAACATTGTATGATTACGATGACGCCAGTGAGTTCTTCTAAAATTATTAGAAATCGTCTGGCCCCATGAAAAATAAACCTATGAAAACTATTGACCCTACGAGGTCCTCATCAGCTTAACTCACCTAAATCCAATTTCCCATGTTGAAAACGATAATATTTGACTAAAAAGAGGCAAAGGTAAAACGACAGGCTGGAAAACTGCTTCGAAATATACACTCAAAATATAGGTAGATGACAAAAAGCTTATATGCAATCACGCTAGTGATAAGAAGATATTAAGTTGTAAACTTCACCAAAACGTTATTAATAGCCATTGTTAAATTTCAAAAGGCAAATTAGTGAGCATAGGCCTGCTTTCGATAAATAATTATCTTCAGGACAATACGGCTATTATTGAAGAATAAATGGATGAAAAGGGGATACGGTCACGTAGATAATTAAGCTGTACCTCGGGTTTGGAGAGGCAAGGGCAGAGGAGTGGAGGGGAGCGGAGGGGAGGGGGAGAGTAAAAGACCAGAATTGCTGTCAGCGTGAGGGAGAATGTCGGTGCCGGCGGCGGCGAAGGTAACTACATGCGGGCGAGCGGGTGGTTGGCATGGTGGCTTTGAGCCATGCCAAATCTATCGCCTGTAGGATCTACTTCTGTGCGCATAGCACCGGTGCGCTCCGCGTAGACCGATTGCAGCCGCCTCTGCCGTAGCCAAGAAACGCTGCCCAAGCAGCTTTTGGATAGTTACACGACACCTTGTAAATTTCTCTGAAGGACTGCCTGCTCTGCGTCTACACTGTGTTCTGTGTCTACCACGTGAGCGCGCCAACATCGAGCTGTTTTAACGCTTTCCTAACCATGCTGGCAGATGTTCTTGGATAAACGCCGGCTCGTACCACCAACATATTCTGCCCCACAGGCGAAGGTGTTCTAAATACACATAGAGGTGGTTTAAGGTGGTAGTTTGTCCTTCCCCCCTCCCTGGATAGTAGGATGGCACCGGTGGGTGTCAGCTGATGGAAGGGTCTGTGTTACAGAACTGTGAGTTAGGCATCTTTTTAAAAGTTCGCTTGCTTGGTGCATCCCCTTTAAATGGGAGCCTGATGAAAAGCCTTTTCTTTCCTGCCGTCGGTATCGGGCACCTCTATGGTCTTTCGGTCATCTTCTTAGCTGGATACCCGTTCTGGCGAAAAAGGCCTTCGAGGATCTTCAGCTCTTTCTCAACAACACTATCAGCTGAGCAGATTTTTCTCACTCTTTCTGTCATACAGCGGACTAAATGACGTTTAACCTTTAGCGGTACGAAACTTCCAAAATGGGTGTATTGTCCGGACCAGGTTTTCTTACCATAGACGCTACGTCCAATGCTGCCGTCAGGTAGATCTTCCACTAAGAAGCACACCCAGAAAGGGAAGTGAACAGGACAGATCTAATTCTTCTTCCTATTCCAGAGTGAATTTTATTGATGGATGCGCCTGATTTATGTCATCAAGTAGACGACTTGAGATGTCACTTTGTTTCCGTGCAATTGCCAATATATCAGCATCAGTATCAATATCAGTGTATTTAAGGGAATGTAGGTGTGTATCTTTGAAATCAGAGTTATTATATGGGGAAAATGAAAATGAAGTAACGTGAATGAAATACAAGGGGAATAACAAAAACTGTTCAAATATACACAGAAAGTCAGGCGTTTACAGCATTAATAGACCCATGAACACGGTTTGTTCATTAAATGCAGCAGAATGTTAAAGCACACCTATGCTACAGGAAAAGAAGTAAAGTTTTTTAGTCCACAAGTATCGTTGTGAATGCGAGCAGTGGTGTGCGACTTGGTCCGAAATTCACAAATTACATAAACATATGTTACTTAAATGTTGGTAGTGGCATCGTCATAACACTAAATTGTCAACGTTGGCTATCAAGGTGGCTGTAGTCCGGCGTTATTGTGGTGCGCGCCGCGGTGTTGTTGAAGGCACTCAGTCGGGGTACCTACGGTTCAGCAGCACTAAGCTTGTGAAGGCGAATGTACGAGCCGTGTTTATTAAGAGATGCCTCCTCGAGGGAAATGAGTACCCGAACTCCTACTGGAGATGAATGCGTCGGAGTGAGTCGTACGGTCATGCTCTCCTGTGATACCTTGAGAAGATAGGCCGAAGATGATTTAGAGAGCAGGCGTGTTGTAAAGCAGGTGGAAGAGCTGGTGCGTCATCTTTCTTTGACTTTAAGAAGACGTTTGATAGCGTTCCACATGGTCGACTCCTGCAGAAGATTTGGAAATATGGAATAGAGGGCTACATTTTTAAGTGGATTTAAAAGTTTCCTGTCATGCAGGCTCCAAAAAGTGATCGTTGGTACCACTGCATTCGAATGGGTGCCCGTAAAATGCGGCATTACGCAGGGCTCAGTCTTGGGTCCTCTCCTCTTCCTTATCTATATAAATGACTGTCCTGCAGACCTTGAATGCGACGGCATCATGTTTGCAGATGATTTAACGATCTGGAGCACAATCAGCTGTGTTGACGACACGCAGAAGCTACAGGAAGATGCTACTCTGCTGGCTGCGTTGTTCAGCATGTGGATTCTAACGTTTAATGTGTCCAAATGTGCAGTCTTTCGACTAGAATCTGGACGGAGGCGCTTCCCAAAACATCAGTACACCATAAATGGGGTTCCACTAATAGAGGTGGACACGCACAAAGACCTCGGTGTCTGGACATGCTCAAACTTACTGCCCTCTCAGCACTGCAAACCACTCATCCAAAAGACGACCAACATCATGCACTGGATTAGACGTGCCTTCAAAATCTTTCCTCCAGAACTCTTCTCACAGATATTCGGCACGTTCGTCAGACCGCAATTGGAATACGCACTGCCATCATGAATGCCCTGGAGGAAGAAAGACAGAGATGCCATAGAGCAGGTGCAACGACGGGCCACAAAACTGGTGGAAGGTCTCAGGACTCTGTCCTACCCAGAAAGACTGATCCAGTTAAACTTGTTCCCCCTATCCTATAGACGAATGAGGTGTGACCTGTTATGGACATTCTGCATTATACACGGGCATGAATGTTCACTCAAAACTGAAGACTTCGTTGATTCCACGACCACGAGTCACCTGCGCAGTCACCCGTACACAGTCAAGCGGAAGCGTATACGCCTAGACCATCGGAAGTTTTCCTTCAGTCAGCGTGTTGTTTGACCGTGGAACTTAGTAGCACGTGAACTGGTGACATCTGATACAATGGCAGGATTCAAAAGGCAGCTGGATCGTTTGATCTTTGATAAACGACGACTCTCACTGCAGGACCATCTGCGGCCAGCCATTAATTTCAATTCTTGTTTTCAGTAGCAGTGCTGAAGAAGTGACACACACATTTAGAGGTTAAGAGAACTGCATTGGCGGAATAACGGCGTTCTGATAACTAGCCCAGATTAGGGAACTGGCGTTGTATTGATTTACAGGGTAGAGGACTATATTAGGAAAATACAATCAATTCTGTCCGATGAGAAATATTTCAGAAAAAGTGATAGAGAAGGAGAAGGACCGAAGATACTAGATTGAAGCACTTCTGACTGACTGACTGCAGATGCATGTGCCGGATTTGTGTTTCCTTATCTTAATAAAAATGGCTCGTACTTTCGCTAAACAAGCTTGGTGCTGCTGAACCGTAGGTACCCATTGAGTGCATTCAGCAGCACCGCGGGATTTTTGGACTGCGTTTTGAGTTGAGATATTTGCCATTGTAATATTTAAAAGGCAATTTGGCGAGCGTAGGTCTACTTTCGATTAATACTTTTCTTTAGGCCTAGATGACTACTATTGAAAAAATAATGAATGAAATGATACGGGCACGTGGATAATTAAGCTTTACCTTCTCTATTGCACTTTTCCGCCGCACGCCTATAAACCGACCAACAAACTTTGGCGTCAATCGCTGTTTGCTTGTCTTATCACCTCGTATTTACGTCCACTTTTCAATTTATTCTCCGCCTTTTCAACACTCTTATGCTCCGCTAACCTTACTGTTTATTGCTTTAGATTCACAAAGCATAACCGAGTTATACTGACTGTCTTCTGACATCGCTTTGACCTCGGGTGCGACTATTCCGCTGAATAAACCTGCACTGAATCTAAAAAATCAATATAATACCAACAAAGCTATTCGAGTCCTGTTCGAGCAAATCGCAGATAACAGCCCTTCGGATCTGTCGCTGCACTCACAGCCAGCTTCAGTAATCACCTTTGATCAAAGAGATTTGAAACGACAGTGACTTGAAATAGAGCTCAGCAAATTGCGTCTACTAGAATTCAAAGGACGCATTGAGTTGGAAAAATTACAGCTTATGGAAATGGAAAGTCAAGAAATGAATAAAGATGACGATGTTTGTGCGATCATTCATCAGAGAGATTTTCGCACCACAGAGAATCATCTAGAGCCACCAAATCGGGAAATTCAGAAGTTTGACGGAAATCCTAAATTTTATTGTGCTTCTGTGAAGCAGTCCCATTCTGTAATTGAAAGATAAACTAATGACAGCATCACATGCCTCACTTATCTGATACAGTTCTGTGAGGGGAAAGCGAAGGAGGCCATACAACATTGTGCGATATTAGACGCCGACGAAGGTTTTAAAAAGGCCAAATATATTTTGAGAAGAAGATTCGACCAGCATTTTATGGTAGTCCGAGCCTTTATTGATGCATTAATCGACGAACCTCAAATAAAAGGCAACGACCCCGCAGCGTTGGTTCACCTCAGCCAACGAATGCAGGCATGTGTGGCAACCTTGAATCCACTCAACTATGCATCCGATTTCAACTCTAGCAGAACTCTGGAGTCGATTGTGAGACGTCTACCCTCCCAATTAAGATTCACATGGGCTGAAACCGCTGCAAATGCAATACGTCAGGACGACGAACCGTAATTTGAAGATCTCGCGAACTTCCTAGTTGAACGCACGGATGTTGCCTGTACTCGGTTCCGATAAATAGCGGTTAGTTTGAGAGATCATGAAGGTCAGCAGCCCAGTAGGACACACAGATTGTCAAGAAATCTTTAAAGTAATGTGCTTGTTGCAATCAGCACGGAAATAAAGCGTATTGTGACCCCTTTCCCTTTCTGTTGCACGGTCTGTGGAGAACATCATTATCCCGATAAATGTCCAACATTTGTGGCCTCTGACAAGACAGTAAGGAGCAGGATTGTACAACAGCGCAAACTGCTTGAAAAAGAAACATATAGATAAGAATCCGATCACAAAGCGTATGTACAGGTGAGGACTGCGGAAGAGAAAATCATACTCAACTACATACCGGCAATGAAGAGCTCAATAGCTCGTCCAATATATTCAGTCATCACGTAGACGTAAATGAAGACGAGGTTACAAGGGCAGCCCTCGTGGTAATACAGGTTGAGTTAGGCGGCGTCTTTTTAACAGTTGGCTTGCCAGCATTTATCCACTACCAGTCGCTCGTCTTCGCCAATTTCTTCCACCATGGCTGCCTCTTGACATACCTGACGCCCCAGATCTTCCACCTGCTTTACAACACGCCTGCTCTCTAGATCATCTTCGGCCTATCTTCTCCCAGGCCTATCACAGGAGGTGATAACCGTACGACTCAATCCGTCGCATTCATCTCCAGTAGGAGATGGGGTACTCATTGCCTCGAGGTGGCATCCCTTAATAAACCTGACTTGTACATTCGCCTCCACAAGATTGGTGGTGCTGCTGAACAGTAGGTACCAACATTGAGTGCCTTCAACAACACCGCGGCATATTTGGACTGTTTTAGAGTTGCGAATTTGCCATTGTCAGATTCAAAAGGCAATTTGGCGAGCATAGGTCTGCCATGGATAAATTGTCTTTAGGCCTGTATGGCTACTATTGAAGATGTAATGAATGAAAAGGGGATACGGGCACGCGGGTAATTAAGCTATATCTGGGGCTTAGAGAGGGGAGGGGAGGGGGAGAGTGAAAGAGCACAATTGCAGTCAGAGTCAGCGAGAAGGTGGGTCACGGCGGCGAAGGTTATTACATGGGGAGGGCGGGCGGGCGGGCGGCCGTTTCGGTGGGTGGTTGGCTGGCTGGCCTAATGGATTTGTCCCATGCCATCAGTGGGCGCAACCTGTAGGAAATTCTCTTCTGGGCGCATAGCACCGGTCCGCTCCGCGTAGCCTCATTGCAACCGCCTCTGCCGTAGCCAAGAAGCGCTGCCCAAGCAGTATTTGGATAGTTTGATGGCACCTTGTAAATTTCTCTGAAGGACACTCTGGTCTACGTACACGGTGGTCGGCGGCGGCGTCGACCACGTGAGCGCGCGAGGATCTAGCTCATTACTTTCTTTATTTGACACTTTGCAAACCTGGCCTGCTTGGAGATGTTCTTTTGGATAAACGCCGGCCGGTTCCTGCCATCAATATATTCTGCCCACCCCACAGGTGGAACACAGGTGTAAGGATGTTTAAATAAGCATAGATGTGCTCTGAGCTGGTAGTTTTTCCTTGCCCCCTCCCTCCCTGGATAGTAGAATGGGAATGCTGGGTGTCAGCTGCTCAAATGCTCCGTGCTAATACAGCTTGAGTTAGGCGGCGGCGTCTATTTAACAGTTGGCTTCCCAGCATTTATCCACTACCAGTCGCTCGTCTTCGCCAATTTCTTCCACCATGGCTGCCTGTTCACATACATGACGCCCCAGCTCCTCCACCTGCTTTACAACACGCCTGCTCTCTACTTCATTTTCGGCCTATCTTCTCAAGGTATCACACGAGGTGATAACACTACGACTCACTCCGTCGCATTCATCTCCATTAGGAGACGGGGTACTCATCAGTCCCTCCAGGAGGAGGCATCCCGTAATAAACCTGACTTGTACTTTCGCCTGCACAAGATTGGTGGTGGTGCTGCTGCTGCTGCTGCTGAACCGTAGGTACGCAAATTGAGTGCCTTCATCAACACCGCGGCATATTTGGGCTGTTTAACAGTTGTGAAAATTGCCTATGTACAATTCAAAGGGCAATTTGGCGTGCATAGCTCTGCCCTGGATAAATTATCTTCAGGCCTATATGGCTTATATTGAAGATGTAATGAATGAAAATGCGATACTGGCACGTGGATAATTAAGCTGTACCTGGGGATCGGAGGGGGTGAGGGGAGGGGAGGGGGAGGGTGAAAGACCACAAGCAAGCTGTATTAGCACGGACCATTAGAGCAGCTGACACCCAGCATTCCCATTCTACAATCCAGGGAGGGAGGGGGCAAGGAAAAACAACCAGCGGAGAGCACATCTATGCTGCGTATTTACACATCCTTCATCTGTTCGACCTGTGGGGTGGGCAGAATATATTGACGGCAGGAGCCGGCCGGCGTTTATCCAAAAGAAAATCTCCCAGCAGGCCATGTTTGGAAAGGGTCAAATAAAAAAAGCAATGAGCTATATCCTCGCGCGCTCCCGTGGTTGACGCCGCCGCCGACCAACGTGTACGTAGACCAGAGGGTCCTTCAGAGTAATTTCAAAGGTGCCAGCCATCAAACTATCCAAAAACTGCTTGGGCAGCGCTTCTTGGCCAGGGCAGATGCGGCTGCAATCACGCTACGCGGAGCGGACCGGTGCCATGCGCCCAGAAGCATTTCCTACTGGTTGCGCCTACAGTTGGCCTGGCTCGAAGCCACTATGCCAACCAACCAGCACCCCACACGGCCGCACGCACGCACGCCGCCCCCCCCCCCATGTAATACCCTTCGCCGCCGTGACGCAACTTCTCGCTGACTCTGACTGCAATTGTGCTCTTTCACTCTCCCCCTCCCCTCCCCTCCCCTCCCCTCCCCCCTCCAATCCCCACGTTCAGATTAATTATCCACCACGTGCCCCTTTCGCCTTTTCATTCATTGCATCTTCAATAGTAGCCATACAGGCCTAAACAGAATTTATCCAGGGCAGACCTCTGCTCGCGGAATTGCATTTTGAATCGTACAAAGGCAAAATTGCAACAATAAAACAGTCCAAATATGCCACGGTGTTGTTAAAGGCACTCAATGTTGGTACCTACTGTTCAGCAGCACCACCAATCTTGTGGAGGCGAATGTACAAGTCAGGTTTATTAAGGGATGCCACCTCGAGGCAATGAGTACCCCATCTCCTACTGGAGATGAATGCGACGGATTGAGTCGTAGGGTTATCACCTCCTGTGATAGGCCTGGGAGAAGATAGGCCGAAAATGAAGTAGAGAGCAGGCGTGCTGTAAAGCAGGTGGAAGAGCTGGGGCGTCAGGTATGTCAAGAGGCAGCCATGGTGGAAGAAATTGGCGAAGACGAGCGACTGGTAGTGGATAGATAAATGCTGGCAAGCCAAGTGTTAAAAAGACGCCGCCGCCTATCTGAAGCTGTATTAGGAAGGAGCATTAGAGCAGCTGACACCCAGCTTACCCATTCTACTATCCAGGGAGGGGGCAATGAAAATCTACCAGCGGAGAGCACATCTATGCAGCGTATTTACACATCCTTCAACTGTTCCACCTGTGGGGTGGGCAGAATATATTGATGGCAGGCGCCGGCGTTTATACAAAAGAAGATCTCCCAGCAGGCCATGTTTGGAAAGGATCAAATAAAAAAAGTAATGAGCAAGATCCTCGCGCGCTCACGTGGTAGACGCCGCCGCCGACCACCGTGTACGTAGACCAGAGGGTCCTTCAGAGTAATTCACAAGGTGCCAGCCATCAAGCTATCCAAAAACTGCTTGGGCAGCGCTTCTTGGCTAGGGCAGAGGCGGCTGCAATCAGGCTAAGCGGAGCGGACCTGTGCTATGCGCCCATAAGTATTTCCTACAGGTTGCGCCCACAGTTGGCATGGGTCAAATCCACTAAGCCAGGCAACCAACAACCAACCCGGCCGCACGCACGGAAGCCCGCCCGCCCGCCCCCATGTAATAACCTTCGCCGCCGCCGTGACCCACCTTCTCGCTCACTCTGACTGCATTTGGGCTCTTTCACTCTCACCCTCCCCACCCCTCCCCTCCCCCCTCCATTCCCCACGTACAGCTTAATTATCCACCTGCCCCTATCGCCTTTTCATTCATTACATCTTCAATAGTAGCCATACAGGCCTAAAGAGAATTAATCCAGGCCAGACCTATGCTCGCCAAATTGCCTTTTGAATCCCACAATGGCCAATTTGCAACTCTAAAACAGTATAAATATGCCACGGTGTTGTTGAAGGCACTCAATGGGGGTACCCAGGGTTCAGCAGCAGCACCACCAAGATTGTGCAGGCAAAAGTACAAGTCAGGTTTATTAAGGGATGCCTCCTCCACGCGGGAATGTGTAGCCCATCTCCTACTGGAGATGAATGCGATGGAGAGAGTCGTACGGTTATCACCTCCTGTGATAGGCCTGTGAGAAGATAGGCCGAAAATGAAGCAGAGAGCGGGCGTGATGTAAAGCAGGTGGAAGAGCTGGGGCGTCAGGCATGTCAACAATGGATAGATAATTCAAGGCATGCCAACTGTTAAAAAGACGCCGCCTATCTCAAGCTGTATTAGCACAGACCTTTAGAGCAGCTGACAGCCAG